AAACACTGTGGCCATCTGCAGGCAGGAGGAACAAAAGTCGTTCTTTACGCATGTGACCTTTGATACAAAGAAAAACAGAACTGCAGACACGTTTGTTTCTGTGTAGGTAGGAGACGAGTTACTTGAGAAACGCTTGCTGTGCTCAGACGCAGGAGGAGACAGTTTGTTGTGGAGAGTCCCAAGATTTGTGAATTTTAATAATGGCGTTAAGTTGCCATGCAGTTTGCAAATATAAGAACATGTGTTGATTTTTAATCTTTCAGTATATTAATATGTTCTTTTAATGAACATATGTTCAGTACGTTCTGCTCAGCTTTTGGAAACACATGGTTTAAATGTCCAAGCAGCTGAAATTGTTTTTTTTTTTGTTTTTTGAAAAACAAAACAACAAACTGCCCCCAAAAACACAGATTTGAGCAAAAACTGTTTTTGAAAGCCCTGCTTCAGTGTCCGTTACTCATATCTTCTCTCCTGCACATTTCTGGAGCACCAGGAGTCTGTTCAGCAGCATCTCTGTAATTTGTTTTGATCCAATACGCTCCAACAGGTAATACACAAAAAAAATACAAGGAAATAACTACCGGTACATATTTTGACGAGTAACATTCATGGGAGAGTCATTTTTTCCTTAAAGTTGATGATGATTTTCTCTAAACGTTAACAGGCTGTGAAGGTGAGGAGGAGTTCACAGTTCGGTACCTGGCCTCTAGATCCCAGAAGGTGGGGTCATCGCTGGTCCAGGGATTGCACGGTTCTGGTGCTGTCAAAAACGGGTCATACTCGATGTACTGCTCAGTGTAGCTGATCAGGCTGAAACACAAAGAAGTGTTAAATATTAACGCTGATTTATGGATCATGGAGGCCAGAGTTACTTTGGTATAAATTAGTAACTTTTGTTACTCAGTGAGCAAAATAGACAAATAACTTGAATAAAATTCAGCTAAATAAACCTGACGGGTGAAGAACACGTGAAGCATCTTTTCTGTTCATGTCAAAAAGAATTAACGCGTTTTCAGAATTAAGAGTAACAAGCAAACCGTTAGCCAACAATCCGTTTCTGTAGCTGAGCTGTTCTTTGATAGATGGACCCGAGTCCAGAGCTTCTAATAAACAACAAGGAGTGAAAATGTTCTGACATTTCCAACGTTCAAGTTCATGCAGATTTTCAAACACAGAAACGGCGTCTGTTCCGTTACGCTCCGACTCAAATAAACCGTTCCAAGCCAAAAACTAAACGAAGGGCTTTTAAAACCGTTTGTGGAAAAGCATCAACGTTTATCTGTTTATATCCAAAATGCACTATACATATTAATAAAAGACCAGTTTAACTGCCCGTGTACTTTCACTGCATATATTTGGTGCAGTGATCTTTAAAGGAGAGTTTAGGATGATATTAATACACATAAGTTTGCAGCCTCCCAACATATTCCCACAGATATGGTTGAATCTCATTATGCCACATTTTATTCATACGAATGCTTAAAAAAACTGGTACAAGACGGACCAAAGAACTGTGCAATAAAACTAATGGCACAGGACAAAGGGGAAAATATGTGAATCCGTAAAAATAAAAAGACAATTATAATGCAGCCATTTGACAATCACAACCCGACCAACAGTTCCTCTAGCACCTAGCAGACGAAAGAACACCCCCCTGTGTTAAACTACTTCCTAATCTCACTGAAGACTCACAAAATAAATCCAAAGAATCAGACCAGAGTAAAACCGTTTGGATCCTTGTCGCTTCTTTCAAAGACATTAACGACAAGCCGTCCGGCTCAGGTTTAGGAACCAGTGAGTGAGTAAAGCTGGCGTCTCCTTCGAACTGTGCAGACCGTCAGGCTTCATACCTGTCAGCAACTTTGGACATCTTCAGGCAGTGACGATCCAGCTGCGTGTTCAGAAACAAGATCTGGAGATAAAACACGGAGCAGAGTGAAATGGTTAAAAAAAAGTGAATCAGAGTGAAATTTGCACTGATGCAGCCAAAACGTGCCTCAGGGTAACTAGAACAAACAGTTGGCTGGCAGGGTCCATGCAAGATTTGCTATTGTCAGAGCAGCTGCTTCACGGAACCGAGTCCATTTTGTGCTAGAAAGCAACACAGTCTTTTTTATTATTATTTATAAATTTATTCCAGTTCCCTGCAGCTGCCACTCCTCTCTGTGAAGAAGTTGCAGCTGTGAAATCTGATCCTTCAAAAGTTAAATACAAACACGAACTGTTCGGTTAGAACGTTGAGAACCCGTTAACGTGCAACATCTGGACACATCCTTACCTCTTTTTCCACGTCCTCTTTGGTTCCTTTCCTGCGGTGATGTAAGGAGGTGTGCACGGGACTCTGCGACTGGACTCCATCCTCCACCACACCATACACTGTCTGGACCACCAGAACAAAGAGACGGGCACTTTTTTTCAAGAGGAAAAAGGCTCAGAAGTGTCTGTTGCAACGTATCGCATTGTTTTTGGAATAAATTGTATCTTATTCTATGATATCATCCATCCATTTATCCATTATCTGCTTCTTTTTCAGGATGCGGGGGTGTCATGGAAAGGGTGATTCCCTAAACGACCAGGTGTAAACTTCTTCATAGTCGTTACAAAGCTTTGGAGAACAGCCAGCAATCACAGAAGATCAATGCGTTTACAAGTAGGCCTGTCAATAAACAATAAATCAATTAATCGCACGATAAATGAAAATTATCGACCTCGTTTCATTTATCGGCTTTATCGTTTCTTCGTGTCTCTCTTTCTACTGAAGACACCTGATGACAAAAAGCTCAACTCCGGTGCTCTTCACTCACCCCTCCCTTTCTCTTTAAAATCTGTTTTAATGATCCAAAATCCAAAAAGCAGCTAAGCTACGAGCTAAGCTAACAGGCCGACCTCGGAAAAAACCCTCCGTCTTGTCGATGCTCCAAAATTCACGGTTGAAACCCGTGCCTTTGTGTAAAAAGTTGTTTTTCTCTGCAACAAGAAGCTGAGAACGTGTTTAATGATTTTTTTTATTAAAAGCTTTGCATGAAAAATGCTATGCTAAAGAGCTCAAACCACACAGAGCATCCGCCATTTTGAGAACTGAAAAACGAAGAGACAGCTCATGTCACGTCAAGGGGCCTCCCTCCCATTTTTCTTAAATAGACACGCTGCTCGCTCCCTCACTAGCCATCCTTCAGTTCAAACAGTCTTATACTGCCATCCAGTGGTAAAAAAAGGTACTACCCACAAAAATTAACCAACATTTCTTCTTCCATTAAACAATAATTACTAATTATTGTCGAACTTCAAACAATATTATCATTTATCGCAGTAATTTCTGAGACAGCCCAGCAACATTTATTGTGACAGGCCTATTTACAAGTGCACACTTGTCACATGTTGGAGGTTCTGACCCGTTCTGGCTTCCCAAACTGAAAAGATTAGTTTTGTAGAGAACTCCTCAGGGGTCTGCCCCTCCCATTCACCTTGTCCTAGTGGTTTCAGAAAGAACCCAGCAGCTGAACACAGGGAGCCGCTGGAGGTAAACATTTCAGGATTCTTTTGGGGAATAATCATTGGGTCTACCATAACACTCAAAAATCTCCAGCATGACAAAAGATGACCTCTTCACTATCTTCTTACAGACAGTCACATCAAGGATGATTATAATACAGAGGAGAGATCATGCCTCATATTTAATATCATTCATAATAACAGTAAATGAGCTGAAAAGTTTATATATTACCATAAGATACAGAGCATGGTGCATGCATACATATGTAGTCCCTCGACAGGGGTCACTGTATGAGAGGTGGACCCTGGACAGGTCTCCAGTCCATCACGGACACACGAAGACAAACATTCACTCTCTCACTCACACCAGGGACAATTTAGCGTTACCAGTCAGGCTAACATGCATGTTTTTGGCCTGTGGGGGGAAACCGGAGTACCCGGAGAAAACCCACGCATGCACGGAGAGAACATGCAAACATCCAGAAAGGTCCCGAGCTGGAATTCAATCTAAGTTTCTACCTTTTTCACTCGATGAGGATTCTTCATCCGTCTACATTTCCTGATGTCCATCTCGGTGGTGTTCACACATCCAGGCTGAAAGGGAAGCAAGGCGAGTCGGAACAATTCAGTTCATACTTTTTAAATGTCAACCCTGAAGACGCTGCAGGAATTTGTAAAAGGCTCATTGATGAACGAGAAAGAGGGAAGCTCTACTCCTCCGAACAGAAAGATTTACCACGGGTCTGTGGACGTCCCAGAAGGCTCTCTCCTGGCTGTCGAGGATCTTCCTCTCCATTTTATCCTTCTTCCTGTCAATCCTGTAGGTGAGATCAGGGAGGAAACTTTTTTTTAATGTTGCAGATCATTGCATGAGGCCTTCATGTCATGACTGGAAAAGAATCTAAAGATCTTTGAAAATGCCTCTTTTATTTCACAGCATTTGAAGCTGATCATTGTTTCTGCACTGCACGCACCAACTCTGAGAGGACTACCGTACTTTCCGCCGTATAAGTCGCATCGGTCCAAAAATGTCTAACAAAGTGGGGAAAAAAACAAATGTCGCTTCACCGTATGTCGCATCTATTATGTGTCGCCACTTATGCATGCGTTTGTTGTGTCACCACTGACCACCTGGAAATGTGGGCCGGTGTTGTATCAAAAATCAATTGGCTGCCACATTGCGGCCGCGGGAGCGTGCACGGGAGGACTTCAACAAGAATTTAACTAGATTAACACTGAAAAACAATTATTTGTTTGCTCAAAATTATAGCAAAGTTGTGTCTCAGCTTAATTTTTCTTAATAAATGCACTTTGACAGTCAAATTAGCTGCATTTCAAAAGCCGATTCACGGCTTCGGGAGCATGCAGAGGGACGACTCGTGCATTTCTTCAACATTTAACAAGATAACCACCTAAAAACAATTATGTGTTTGCTCGACATTATAGTAAAGGTGTGTCTCAGTTGAACTTTTACTTAATAAATGCACTTTAATGGTCAAATAAGCTGCATTTTGTCTGGGCAGAGCGGAGAAATGCAGCTGGTTTGACATTTGCTCCAGGAGTTCTGGAGCGAGACGAATTGACTTGGTATGGCAAGCCAAGTGTTTCATTAATAACCACTTTTACCTATTAATGAGACACTTGGCTTGCTATATGCCTCGAGTGCACTCTAGCAGCTAAAAATGGTAGTGTTCAAAAATGTCCATGTCAGAATGAATGAAATCGTCAGATCTCAGGCAAAAATTGAATTATAAATATGGAGGGGGGGGGGGACAAATAAACAAATAAGTCGCTTCGCTGTCTAAGTCGCAGGGCATGCTAATTTATGCAAAAATTAGCAACTCGCATAATGAAAAGTACGGTAATATTTAGCATATTGTACATTTTATATGTAAAAAGAAGACGTGCTAAAACGTTTAAAGCTGTTCTGGATTTCCTACGGTGCCGTATCACCAGATCCAGAGGAAAAAAGCTACAAACTCAAATTTATTTACAACTATTGAGAATCTACACAAACATTTAAGCCCAGTCCAACAGCACTGACCTGCACTGTTTGAAAACAGACGGTTCTGAAGCGGCACGGTTATTTCTGTTATAATGCGTTTTGATTATTTTCTTTGTAGGAGCATTATACATTCTTATTTTTAATCTCACACACACATCTGTAATTTGTTCCTTCTTAGGACATCGTATTGACTCAATTTATTCCTGGAACATGAAGCTAATTCACACTTTAGCTTAAAACTCAGCACACACTCGATGTTCGGACCAGTCATTAGAACTACTGGTCCTGACGAGGAGGATGACCATACCAGAACGGGTCGTAAAAACACACACGGACAAAATAAAAGCATGACAGCTGCAAGAACATCCCAAAGAAATGCCCAATTATGAAAACAAAAGCTTTTAGAAATTTTTTATTTCTCGCATTTTAATCAATTCCAAATAAAATAGGAAATACTTTGGCGAATGCGTGAAAAATATACTTTTATTTCATATTTAATTTTCCATTTTTCAGTTATGGTATAACCAAATATCCAGTGTGAAAGTGGAGTCTGCACGTCTGCAACACTTACTGATGCGTGAATCAGCAAATACACGTAGATGTCACAACATTGCTTGTTGCTTTAACTCTCATTGTGAACGATATTAGAGTGCGTTTTCAAGTTTCACACGTTGCCTTGACAACAGATCACACTTACTTGACCTGGGCTTCAGCCTGCATGTAGATAAACTCCCACTTCCTTGCAAAAGCTCTCTGTAGCCTCGCTAAGTTCTCCTGTGAAACAAGAAGCAGCACGCGATGTCAGAAGCTCTTGTCCGTTTTCACCCAAATCATATTTTAGACGTTAGAGTCAGCTCCAGGAGATGCTTCAGATAATTACTGAGAGACATCTGTCGGATCACAGAGATTGTACACCTGCTCAAAGGTTCATCAGCTGATCAGAACGAGGAGTCAGAACTTCAAGGTGCAGAACTCACCGCCTCGTAATCTGCCAGCTCCAGCCTGGTTTTATTCTGCATGGTCCGCTTGCACAGATAGATAGCTGCACAAAAAGCATGAAAGAGAGGTGGAACAAACATTCCTCCACAATCCCTCCACCCGCCTGTGTTTCTTAGTGTCCTTTCCTCATCACCTGCAGAGTGACAACCAGTTTCAAGTCCACTTTAGGATTAAACATCAGAGAGTGAAGATGTTTTAAACTCCCAACCTTAAACTAAAGCCACAGGGGGCATGATGAGACGACAAGGAGCAGGGGGTGGAACAGAAATTGATTAATTCTGTCAACTGTTCCCCTTCACTGCAGCACTCGTTGCGCCTCGATGCGTTCTCAGAGCGGGTTATTGTATTTACAGTTAGACACATCAGGATGCGCATCGTTTACACTCCAAACCTGGACATTATGTTTTAAGAAGGGTACACTGTCAGATTAAATTTAGTTTGACGAAACTCTCACTGTGTCACAAATTAGAAGCTCGTTTAAAAACAAACATTCATTAATATAACCCGCAGCTTTTGAAGGAATGGAAACTGTCGTCTTCTTTACAAGTCAAAGTTTTAAAGATCTAGTGGGTTATTTATTTTTTTTAGCTCTTGGAAAATGAGATTAAAATAACTCGGCTACTTACACAACAACTTTAGGCCAATATTAGCAAAATTCACCAAGTTAAAGCCATTTTCTGTTTGCTAAAGTTTAGCTACAGCTAAAACTGTTTTCTAACAGCCAAGCCCTGATTATAAAACAACAGAAAGCTAAAACTATATTATTATACATACATATTTAGAAAAAAAAAAATAGTCAAGCGTTTGGGGTGTCGTTCGTAACGTTACACTGTCAAAAATTAACAGCAATATTTTGGTTTATTTAGCCTTGCATATGAAAAAAATATTTTTTTTCAAAGTCATATTTTCACCATGTTATTCATACATTTATGAATGTCATAGTTCCAAACTAAATATTTAATTTACACCTAACTAGTTTACAAACTAAATACTTGACTTGCAAGTTAACTATGTAGTTAGCAAGCTAAATATTAAGCTCTACACTAAATATTTAGTTTACAAACTAAATGTTTGTCCAAGATAAATGTTTAATTTACAAACTAAAATTTATCTTGCAAGTTAAATAGTGAACTAAATATTAGGTGTAAATTAAATGTTTAATTTTCAAACCAAATATATATTTTCAAAACTAAACATTTAAAATCCAAACTAATTATTTATTGTCCAAGCAAAATATTTATTTTCCAAACTAAACATTAAATTTCTAAGCTAAACATTTAATTCCTAAACCAAATATATAATTTGCTAACAAAATATTTAGCTCGGACATAAATATTTTCCAAACTAAACATATGCTTTCCAAAATAAATATTTAATTTGCTAACTAAATATTTTGCTCAGTCCTAAATATTTATTTTCCAAACTAAACATTTAATTTTTAAAATAAATATTTAATTTCCTAACTAAATATAAAAAAGTTTTTTCAAAGTCATATTTTCACTATGTTATCATACATGTATAAATGTCAATTCCAAACTAAATATTTAATGTACACATAAATATTTAATTTGCAAGTGAAATATTTAGATGTAAATTAAATATTTCACTTGCAAGTTATATATTTAGCTCAAACCTAAATATTAAGCTAATATGCAAATTCTTTGCTAAAAAGCTAAAGTGGACTATCAAAATAAAATCTGAACAGCTCGTCCAATGTTCTCTGCTAACTCATTTGCCATGTCCAGAGGAAAAAAAATAACGATAAAATATGGCACATACGAGAAAAATGAAGTGAGTCAGTCGGGCCCGCTGCAATTCTTCTTCTTATGGTGTTTTTTGGCGGTTTGGCAAGAGACAGGGGTTCGGCTTTTATTTTGATAGTCCACTTCCACTTTTTGACAAGGAATTTACATATTAGCTAAATATTTAGGTCTGAGCTAAATATTTAGTTAGCAAATTAAATACTTAGTTTAGGAATTAAATGTTTAGAAATTAAATGTTTATTTTGGAAAACAAATATTTAGCTTGGACAATAAATGTTTTAAATGTTTTTTAAATATTTAGTTTACTAACTAAATATTTAACTTGCAAGTTAAATATTTTGTTAGCATATTAAACATTTAGCTTGAACATACACATTTAGTTTGTAAACTAAATATTTAGTTTGGAACTATGACATTTATAAATGTATGAATAATAAGGTGAAAATATGAATTTGAAAAAAAAAAAAAAAAAACTTTTTCTCATGAAAGGCTAAATAAACCAAAATATTTCTGTTATTTTTGGACTGTGTGTACAAACGGCACCACATACAAGGGCACAGTTTTTGTTAACGTCTCACCATAATCGGTGTTCTCAGGCTCCCAGCAGTGGGACGGCCAGAAATATGGCGCCTGAAAAAGAAAAAAAAAAAAAATCAGAAATCACGCCACCTTGTTGGAGATTTGAAGATGCCAATCTACAAGTTAAACCCCAACAGTGAGGTGAAAACATTAATTTTATTTCTTTAGAACAGCTTTACACCGATTTGCTGAAGTTACTGTTTTTTTATTGATTTAAACGGCCAAAGTTTAATTATTTCTCAGGTTCTGATAAACATACTACAGCAAGAAATGATAAAAGCTGGACAAACAAGAAGTAAACAAGCTGAAAACATGGCCGACTGAATCATTTTCCAACATGCTTCTCGAGACCGATTTATTTTTAGACATCTTTTGATGTCAAATAAAGATACATGAAGATTCAGGCGCTCTTTCATAAATATTTATAGACTTCTGTATGTTTTTCATGTAGCTCTTTCACTGCAATAGACATTCTTTTTACATACCGTATTTGTTGGACTACAAGGTGCACTTAAAATCCTTTAATTTTCTCAAAAATCGACAGTGAGCCTTATAATCCAGTACGCCTTACGTATTAATTCTGGTTGTGCTTACCGACCTCGAACCAATTTTATGTGGTACAACTGAACAGTGTTGAGTTATTGTGAATAAGTTGAATAAAGTTTGACTTATGACTTTTTTTTAATGTGCCTTATAATCTGGTGCACCATATGGTCTGAAAAATACTGTAATAAAATGCCTACTTTTATATTTAATCAGGAATTTAAATTATTAACCCAGTTAGGAAAACCTTTAACCTTTCTTTGGTACTTTTGAACTAAATGAAACCAGTGCCCCCACCCCCTGCTGCTTCCATTTGATTTCTCTGCTCACCTGAAAGCGATACAAAGTGCCATCGTCTTTGAGGCAGAGGACGTGATCTGAGACGGGGAAGAAGTATCCCTGAGCTGCGATGAGACTCCCAATGTGCATGGCTTCAGCTGGAAAAACAACATCAGGAATTAAATCCTGATTTTTACAGTTCTACAGCGTGGAAATTCATTACAAGAACATCAAGACAGTGGTGTTTTAGAACAACTAAAACAAAGAACAAGTTCATGAACGCAGAAATGATTAAATGTTTTAGGACTTCAACCTTGACAAGAGATTTTAAATACTTATATAACCTGTAGTTTTCTCTTAAATGGGCTTTTTGATATAAGATGTTGTGCTTCAATAATCATTTATGATTCCATCATTAAATCAACGGAAACAGTTCAACCATCATGATTAGGGTTGGGCATTGAGTCTCAGGAACCGATTGGAACCGGGACTAACGTTCCGATTCTCCTGGAATCGTTCAAAATGTTTATTTTCAATTACAACTTTTGATGCCTAGTCCACCAACTGGAAGAAGAAGCCGCCGAACACCAAAGAAGAAGAATCCACAGGAAGTGTGTGCACATCCATGGACAGTGAGCGGCCGCGATCGAAAGCGTGGCTTAACTTTAATTAAAAAGACCAGTCGGCTCACTGCAGCATGTGCAACAATATTATATCGTGCAAAGGAGGGTGCACGACCAACAACTACGGGTTCATGGTGTAGAAGTAACAGAGTGCGCTGTCTTTGACGCCCTGCGGCGGCTTACCTCTGCCGCCTCCTCCTCCAGCTATCACCCGCTGCAGTCAGAATCACGTAAGTAAAACTATAAAATATGTCTTATACCAACATTAAGGCAGTTTTAACAAGTTATACTTGACTTAAAGCGGTAATTCAGTTCAAATGCTAAAACACCATGCTAACGTTAGCTCATGCATTCTTTCATAGACAACCTGAAATTGATAATGCTAGCCACGGTTTAGCAGACGCTGCGATGTACTACTCCGGTCACCATAGCAACTAAGGGAAAGATGTCGATGCTATTTTTTTGTTTGTTTTTTTAACCCCGCCTCAAAAAAAAAAGAATCGGAATCAAGAATCAATAGGAACTGAATCCAAGTTAGAAATTGGAATCAGAACTGGAATTGTTTAAATTCAAACAGTGCCCAACCTTAATCATGATTTACATTTGAGCAGCAAGAAACAAGATTCAACAAAGCCAATGAGGAGGCAAAACAAAAGATGCAAAAAAATAAAAAATAAAGCTTTTAAATTCCTGTTAAAATCTTATCTTGCTTGTGGCGTGATGTTTGTAAAGTTACACCGTCAAAAATTAACAGCAATAGTTTGGTTTATTTAGCCTTTCATAAAAAAAATAGTTTTTTTTTTTTTCAAAGTCATATTTTCACCATGTTATTCATACATTTATATATGTCATAGTTCCAAACTAAATATTTAATTTGCAAGCTAAATATTGAATTTATAAACTAAATACTTAACTTGCAAGTTAAATATTTAGGGTGTATATTAAATATTTAATTTCTAAGCTAAATATTTATTTTCAAAACTAAACATTTAATTTCCAAACTAATTATTTATTGTCCAAGCTAAATATTTAATTTCCAAACTAAACATTTATTTATAAGCTAAACATTTAATTCCTAAACTAAATATTTAATTTGCTAACTAAATATTTAGCTCAGATGGACCTAAATGTTTAATTTAGCTAGAAATCTAAATATTTAGCTAGCAAGTAAAATTTTGGGGTCTGAATTAAATATTTAGTTAGCAAATTAAATATTTATTTTGGAAATTAATAAATGTTTAGCTTGGGAAATATTTAGGTTTGTGCTAAATATTTAGATAGCAAATTAAATATTTAGGAATTAAATTTTTAGCATAGAAATTAAATATTTAACTTGTAAATTAAATATTTAGTTTGGAACTATGACATTTATAAATGTATGGAAAACATGGTGAAACTATTGATTTTGGGAAGAAAAAAATCTTATGAAAGGCTGAATAAACCAAAATATTGTTAATTTTTGACGGTGTAACTTCACAAATGGCACCCCATACTTGCTCATCTTTAGACTGTCTACTTTTACGAACTACATTTCTTAGTATCCATTACAAAAAAAATATTTTGATCATTTTAAATTTTTTGGAATTCGCTTTCTTTAATGACGCACCGTGTGCCGTTTAGAAAAGGTTTTACGTTTTTTGAAAAATAAAAAGAAGAAATCTTTCAGTTCGTCCAAAGTCTTTATCACGGAGTGAAACGTACCTGGATCTTCAACGGACAGATTCTTCAGCAGCCACTGAACAATATCTGCTCCTGAATCAGAAGCACAAAACACTGCAGTGTTTTCAGACATGTAGGTACAGCAGTAAAAACAAAAACGTGTTAATTTGAAACTGTTTTGAAGAGGCTTTATAGAGTTTTATACTCAAATAAAACAATGAAAGGAAAAAAATTATAAAATCAAATAAACTCAAAAATGTATAAGAATTAAAATAAGCGTTAGCTTGTTTCGTTTACTATTTTAATTCTGTAAGATACGAGTCCAAAATAAGACATTAAAGCCCCCCCCCCAAATAAAAAAATTTAAAAATGTACATATTCCTGAGACTTGATCAGATCTGATGTAAAAACCTCTTAAATCATAAACCTCGTTGTTTCAGCGGTGTCGGTGCAGCCTCCCTCCTGAATGAGAGTGGTTTTTCCTCCATCGTTAGTTTCACGGGTTTAGAACAAACAATGGTACATTCATCCACTGCTGAGGTAATTGTCTACATTGATGCGCTCTGCTTACGACATATTGGGGTAAAGCATCTTCCATAATGACGACGACCGAGGCAAAAAGGGGGGAATGTTGATAGCTTTTTGCTCCAATTGTTTTATTCTTTTACAAATTCCCACTGGTGCTCCATAGTTTTTCCAAAACTTTTAGCCTTTTTCAAATAATTAAAGCCTTCAGGGTAAGTGGCCCATACATCCAGTTCAAATGAACATTTGTATCTTTTATATTTTAAAATGGCTCATTTTGATCAGTGCTAATGCAGCTTGATACCCTGGCAGCTGCAGCGCCATTGAAGCTGCTGGTGAATGATCGCTTTGTTTAAAGGGACTTTAACCGGAGGATGACGAACATTACTCATGCCGTTTCTTTTTCAAACATTTAGTGATCTGTTGTCGCCTCACCTTCCTTCTAGCTACGCAGCTATTCTACTGTGAAGGGTTTCAGAAGCAACAAAGCCTGAAGAGAAGCGGATTAAAACGCAGCAGTAACACACCTGAAAATATCAAAGCTTCTTAAACAAATCCAAAACTAATGATTACGTTAAACCACAAATACAAGACAATAAAAACTAGAAAGATATTTGCGGAGTTGTGCGTATATTTAAAAGACTTTACAGCCGTGTTCATCTCAGATCAATCAGTAAAAAGGCAAACCTTTCATGTTTTGCAACATTTGTCACTCGTTCTTTAAATTCCTGCTTCCAGCTTCTTTGCATCCCGACTCGTCTCTAATCACCGTGCTGTACTATTAAAGATATGACACACTGCCTCATTTCAACCATACAGGTCAATAACAGCTATGGTTTAAAAAAAACAACAGCATTTAGCTTCATTTAAAATGTTGCCTCTCATATTCTTAGAGCCGTGTGGTTTTTGCAGGTATTTAAAAATTATCTTGACCTCATGCTCTTTGTTTTCACTAAAACGTATTCCGTGAAAACCGTGAACCATCCAGTAAATTCAATAAGGCTGGGACACTGTTGTTTAATTGTGGAAGCCTTTTAAAGACTAAAAAGGGGAAGTTTGCATCAGAGTGCAGCCCCAGGTCTGAAAACCATCATCTCACCCTTTGGAAACCAGAGGGAAACGATGCCATATTCCTTGAAACACAAGACCCGAAAGTATCAGCCTGTATTTATTTCTTATATTAAAAAGAATATCTTAGTAGACGAATATATGTGGGCTGAGATGGTTTTGGGGTCAGGGCAGCCGACTCGGGACCCGAAGGTCCTGGGATATCATTGCACACCTCGTGGCGTCTCTGAGCAGGACACCTCATCCTCATTTGCTCCCTGGACGCTTTCTATAGCTGCCCACTGCTCCACCTGGTGGTGGATGGGTTAAATGCAGACAGCCCATTTGTCTTTGTATGGGAACACACAATAATGATAATACATAAATTATTATTATATGAAAGTTTCACTTTTTGAATGGAATTACTGAAATTAGGGATGCATGATGGATTTTTGGCCGATATCAATATGCCGACATGTTAAAACTTATTTGGCTGATAACCAATACTAATACCAATATTTTTTTTCCTAGACCTACATAGCTTTCTCTGTTGTGGAATTAAAATACATCATTCTGCATGGTCTTTGTCAAGTGGGCCTGCTACCAAATGCAGATGACAAAAATGGGCTGAAAATGATGTAAAGCTTCAACTTGGATTATGTTTAATGTTAAATTTATTCACGACATTTACTCTGACAACACTCGATTAGCGCAAATTTGTAAATTTTTCCAAATCTAAACTAAACGGCACGCGTGACATAATGTTATGATGAAACAGCGCCTTTTATATCGGTGAGTTATTTTAATAGAATGGCCGATATTTAACTTTATCGCTAATATCAGCCGATACCTAAACCATGCCAATAATATTGTGCATCCCTAACTGAAATAAATCAACTTTTTCATGATATTCTAATTTTATGACCAGCACCTGTATAGAAAAGTAAGTTAATAACAATTATCTGAGGAGCAGACTGCTTTGAGTCTAACTTCATCGCAGCTTTTCATCTTGAACAAGCAGGAAGGCGACAGTGGAAAGGAAAAACTCCCTCGTGAGGATTTAACTGGCTGGGTTTGAGAGGAACAGATACACAATGGCAGGTCAAGAATCACATAATATAGAAATAGTGTCAAATGAAAACTATTCATTTGTAACAATTCATTTAAGGAAATGAGGTCAATTTGTCCTCCGGTAGTCTAAGCCTATAGCAGCATAACAAGCCAACCCCAACTATAGGATTTATCAAAAAGGAAAGTCTTGAAACTGGACAATGTGTCAGCCTCACGGACAGAAACTGGAAGTTGGTTCCACAAGAGAGGAGCCTGATGACTGAAAGATCTTCCTCCCGTTCTGCTTTTGGAAACTCTAGGAACCATAAGTAAGCCTGCAGTCTGACAGTGAAGTGCTCCGTTAGAAAAATATGCAACAATAAGATCTCATGGACCTAGGTTGTTGAGAGTTTTGCATGTTAGAAGTAAGATTCTGAATTCTATTCTGAAATTGACTACTACTAAAGTAGTTGTACTAAAGCTGACTAACTACAACAGCAAATTGATTGATTTTATTTTTGTTTTTGGGGGAAGGGACTATGGTCACCAAGCTATAGAGCCACATTCCAAAAGGCCAAATGAAATGTTACTTTGCCATACACAAATTGCCCTGGAAGCCAGAGGGGAAACGTCCTATCCATTGACACATAAGGAACTTTTTCAGGATGTCATGCCGTCTTTCAGTCTCTGTCCCTGTTCAGCAGACATTTACTGTCCTTCACCGATGCACAGGAACAAACGTGATGTTTGTACCATGCAGCAGCTGTCACTTTCACTCCGACCTCTCTGCTTCACCTTTTCTTACCCGTTACAACGCTGTGGATCTTCGTCATGAAACTCTTGACAGTTCGGATGGGAACACCTTCCGTCTCATCCTGAATACGAGTGACAATGTCTTCAATCTGAGGAAAGAAGACGTCGCAGAATGAGTCTCAGAAACAACTGGATATCAGAGCTCGTCAAATCTAAGTGTTAATATTGTCCATTTAGTGTGAATAAAGAATGATTTACCACGCTGTATGTTTTTGATCACTCAACCGTCACTGCTCCAGTTTAACCAAGTTTCTACTTTGCAAAACGCAGTTTGGTCAAATACTTAATTTCAAAGCTAAACTTCTGATTGACCCACAGCATATTTTATTTTCCTCAGTGTTTAAGTTTGTTCCTGTTCAATTGGGCTTTCTGAGAATCAAGAGTTGCTCATAAACTCCAATATCACTTGGCATTTTTAGGAAACTACAGAAAACATCTATTCTTTCATGTGTCTATTTGTGGAGTGTCTACATCTCCATTTCCTTCTATTTTTGGACGTGTGCACAACCTGCATTCTAGTTTATTTGCTTTCATCTGAACGACTCCAGCCCAGCGTCTGCTTGATTTATTGCTTTTGTATTGTTTCACTCCAAAGCTTTTCACTCATGGGTTTCTCTTTTTCTTTGGCTAAGAGCTGTTCATCGAGTATACTGCACATTTTATTAGTTTTCAAAATGCAAAACGGCAACAAAATATCGTAAAAAGCAACTAAATTATCTTCTTAATCCAAACAACTGGCCCTAAAATGAGCAATTTTAAAATAGATGCAGAGAAATGAATTGGTACCCATATAGTTCATCGAATCATTGACATAATGCTGTATTTCTTCTTAAACGTTGTTTAAATGCAATAATCTAATGTCTGTCTGCATACCTTTACCATGAGATAGAATAAACAAAAATATTGTGAAAATAAATTTGTTTATTTTACAAAGATATGACAGTTTACCATGATTTTACTTAATTTAAAAAAATATATTTTGACAGGCTGCCAAGCTTCCTGCCACTGAACAACTTTTTCCTTTGCCACACGTGGGCACTCATTCATTCAACCTTTATTTAAACTGGTCCCATTGAGCCACGGGGACTCATTTACAAGACAGACCTGCCCAACAGCTGCCAAACACCCAGTCCTCTTGGGGGTGAGCTTTTGTGACACAGACAGAGTTAATGCCACAGGTAGCTCTCACTCATGGTTCCAACTTTCCTACTAAATACCCATAATCCCCACTCTGTGGCCATGAGACCAGAAGTCACCCTGTTGACCAATGAAGTACCGTCCACTCAGTAGTCATGAGAACATACCCCCAAGACAGACGTGCATTGATCAGATTTCCTTTATAAAAATCTGCTGGCTCCTTAGATAAAATAATGTCATAAACTGACTTTTATGTATGTGAATGTTCTCTTTACAGGGTCCTGAGATGACTTCTGTTGTGACTTCTGTTGTGACTTTGTGCTATATAAATAAACTCAATTTAAATAAAGTAAAAAAAAAAAAAAATCTAAATCAGTGAGGAGACCTTCAAATGGAACCAAAATGTCACTGGGTAGGTTGATATCGCTGAAATCAAAGGGGAGATCTGCCTGAGGAGCTCAGAAAAAAAGATTATACATCTCTGTGTTAAAGGTAAAGAACACCTTAAAGCAGCTTCGTGTTACGCTGACCACAGCCAATATTATTAAAAAGTACAAGGTTCAGAAGTGTGTAGCCAACATGTGGACGCAAGGGGGAACGCAACTCCAGATTACGAGTATGGATGGTGGAAAAAACCAAGAAAACTATCCAAAACCATCCAAGCTGAGCTTCAAGGTCAAGTTACGTCACTTTCTGATTGCACCATGCGTTTCATTTTGAATCAGAACGGGGTTCATGGAAGACCCAGGAGGCTCCTCTGCTGTCAGAAGAACACAAACAAGACAGAAATTTGCCTAAATACTTGACAAGTCTCCAAAATTTCTAGGAGAACATCCTGGGACTGATGACAAAAACAAAAATGGAGCTTTTAGGCTCCAGGGAGGATAAAAACATCCAGAGGAAACACTTTTTTTTTTTAAATGTCCAGCTTTTAGCCAAGTTTGTCCTGATTTTAACCACATACCTAATGCGAAGTTAAAGAATAAGAGGAAAGTGGCTTCACTCTGAGCATGAACAACCGTATTTTTCCTTGTGAAAACTCCTGATGGTTGCAAACCACTTTAACCAAAGCCCTTTTTGTAAGGACAATGCATTTCTCTGCTGCACTAAAAGCAGTTGTTTAAGGCAGAACAGCTTAAAACACATCGTGTTCACTTTTCAGCTCAGATTCTTCCCACCAGATGTAAGATTTGAAGAGAGTTGTGTTTTTACCTCCAACCATCAGAGTTATTTCACCCACTTCCCTGTTTATTGTATCAAATAGATGAAGACTATCTGCCATAAGCAAAGCATAGACAGATATTGGCAGTGCTCTAAAATCAATACATGCATGACTAACAGGACCTTAATGGTGCGTGACGACAGCTGCTCAAACGAATAATGGATTCTGCTGTCATGACCAATTCACTTCTCTTTATAATCAGATTAGATATTCACAGCATGTTTATCACAAGTGACAGGAGTTAAACTAAAATTTGGGAAATGTATTCTTTTAAATTTGGTAAAGAAGCTTAAAAAAATAAAACGATACTTCCTGTTGCAGCTCTGCCACCAAAAAAAAAGTTGTTTTTTATAGCATTTTCTGTAAAAAATTAATTTGTCGTTTTATTTTGCACGTTTAGCACAGACAAAAAGGGGCATCTAAAACAAGAGCTTTGCATTATACTGAACTTTAGTTTTTTCATAGGACAAAGATTTATGATGATGTGAATAATTTTGATGATGACATGGTCCAGTTTCTGCGGATGAAGGCTCTGCCCTCAATTACAATGTCTGAACAGAAAAACATGTTTAAAGTAATGAGTCGTGTTAATGTCGGTGACGAGATGGAAAAAGTAGATGAAAGAAACAAAATGTACATCCTCAGTGAGGATCTTTAAGCACGTTAAAATATACCTATGATAGGTAAAATTGCTCTTCATCAGAAAAGGTTCCTCTCACTGAAGAAGCAGATGCCTTTGGACTGATGTCAAGAAGTGCATGTCTGAAAGAAGCTTGGGTGAGTCAGACCCATTATGATCTATTTAAACCCTGCGGGGCACGAAGATGCGTGTTCTCAAGCATAGACCAGCTCGAGGACTAGAAGGCATCTTTGGTGACCCTGAGGTTAAAAAACAGGCCTTTTTTCATTTTTTAAATACGTTACCAATAAGTGTTTCATCATGACAAACGCTTCACTTTTTGTTGCTTCTGATTATAAAACGAGCAAATATGTGGCAACTGTGAGACATGTCATTGCACTCGTCGTACCGAGCCATCCCTTAAAAAGTAGTACATTTGAAGTTTATTTTTGCAAGTATACTTTAAGTTAAGTATAAGTATATTAAGTATACTACACACCATACTTGTAGTGTACTAGAAGTATACTGATTTAATACTTGTTTGAATTAAATTGGGATATTTTCATACCATTTTGAAGTATATCAAATAAAGTTTATAAAAAGTAAACTTCATACACTTCCTCATTTTTAGTGTAAAATAAGTATACTTGTAGTACACTTAAATAAACTACTTTTTGTTAAGGGATGTCAAGTAGGCCTGTCGCAATAAACAATAAATCAATTAATTGCATGATAAATGAAAATTATCGACCTCATTTTCACGTGTCGGCTTTTTCGTTTGTCTCTCTTTCTACTGAAGACACTGGATGACAAAAGGCTCAACTCCGGTGTTCTTAACTGACCACTACCTTTCTCTTTTCTCTTTAAAATCGGTTTTAAATGTCCAAAATCACGTTTTTGGATTGTTAAAAGCAGTTAAGCTGAGAAGCTAAGCTACGAGCTAAGCTAACAGGTGGACCTCGGAGTAAAAACGTTTTGTCGAAGCACCAAAATTCACAGTTGAAACACTTACCTTCGAGTAAAACGTTGTTTTTCTCTGCAAAAAATACTGAGACCTTGTTTAAGCGTTTTTTTAAATCAAAAGCTTTGTGTAAAAAATGCTATGCTAAAGAGCTCAAATCACACTGAGCGTCCGCCATTTTGAGAATCGAAGAGAGACAGCCCATGCCATGTCAAGGGGCCTCCCTCCCATTTTTCTTAAAGAAACACGCTGTTCGCTCCCTCACTATCCATCCTTCAGTTCAAACAGTCTTATACTGCCATCCAGTAGTCGAAAAAAGGCACCATTTGCAAAACATATTAAACATTTCTTCTTAAATTTGACAATATATACTAATTATTGTTAAATTTCAAACAATATTATCGTTTATCGCAATAATTTCTGAGACAACTAATTGCCCAGCAAAATGTGACAGGCTTAAAGTCAAGACATGTCCAAGCTGACTGAGCCTCACATGACAAAAAAAATAAAAAAGAAGAAGAGCCAATCAGATGAGGCTGCTATCATGCCTTTGCTAAAATGTGATTAGCTCAGTTTGTGGAAAAGTAAACAAATCACCTTTTGGCAACGCACCAATTATACAATGTTATAAACATCACTGCACCACAGGCGTCACAGAAACTAACCAACCAGCCAAAATGGAAGCAGAGCATGGAAAAAGGTGGGAAATTACAGCAACGGAGTTCTCATTTCATCTGTGAAGAACAGACGACTAGACGTACGAACAGAACAGACTCGTCAACTTGCCAAATTATCCACTTTAATAGAAGCCGAAAGTTTTACAACATGGTTATTTTCTACTGAGCTGACATCATACAGGTGAAAAGTATTCATTTAAATATTGTGAACATGCTGAACACATAACCCTGTGGATTTGTCGTCAACTCTAACTACCAACCTATGTGTTAATTGTAAGATTGCACATTGAATGTTGTCCTTTAGGTTTGAACATTGGCTGCTGTGGTTGTTTGCACAGATAAACTAAAAAGATGACTACAACCTCACCTCAGTCGTTTGTCTGTTAATTGGAAAAGACCCATTTCAAATGCTTTTATGAATGTGGCACAAACATTTTGAAGGTGATACATGTAGCTCGTTTATGCGAGCATAA